TTAAAGTCCGAAAGAATGTGTAGACTCATATTATCATATTTCATATTCGTACCAGTGAGTTTCATCAACTGCCTTTCACCAAGTCAAAAATAGCCGCAGTGATTAAATACGTTTGTAAATATCAGCCAACGTGCAAGAAGCATGTTCTCACTTCTTTTTGGAGTGACGAATCAGCGTATAGAAGACAAATTCTACATACTGGTTAAACATGTAGAAATATGACACTTAGTGATTAAGGCGTACCTGTTCTTTCACAGGAAAATATTTAAAACGAGATACATACTAGGAAATTGTCACGGAAGTTGCTTTCAAAACCACATCCATTTTCATTGTTCAGAATTTCATTACTTTTTGACAAAAGTAGTACGTCAAATTAGCACACGATGCCGTAAAGCTTTAAAACGAAGTGCATGACGTGTCGACAATGCATTTGTGGGAGTAAGTTTTTGAGAGGTTTCATTACAATGTAAAATGCCGTGTACCTTGCCAGTTAATGTACAGGTCGGACCCTCAGAGGTTTAAAGCCAGAGCTAAGTCGAACTAAGGAATCCCTTCAGCAGGTCTCTGGAGTGAAAAACTTCCGGCCATCTGCAAAAGTTGTTAGTTGTTAATTAGCTATGTTATAGATTGGTATAATAGTTCTAGACAAACAGGAAACTCTCTACCGATGTTATAGAAATGTTACAGAGTATTTCTCCTGAAGTATAAATGGAATCCCCCTCTTTCGGGTTTTGACAACAATAAAAAATAAAATAAAATAAAATAAAATAAAAAATAGAATCAGGACTTACGATTTTTTCTAACTCTGCATCAACATAAACAAAAGAAATCTGGTCCAAAATTACACGAGTTTTGCTCAATTTGCTCCCATATCCATCATCATAACATTAGTGCAGTTGCTCAATCACATGTCAGACTCTGCTTCGCTATTTAACATGAACTAAACTGTAACCGGCTACCACTTTCACGCCCCTTTCATTCATCAAACATCTAATTCCAGAAGCATCTTCCCACGAACCTCTGGCAGCATACGCAGTTGATGCAAGTAAATAACCAGCCGAGCTCGACGGCTCCAATTCAAGAACATGAGAAAAAGCATCCCCAACGAGTTTCCCAACCTCATAGTTTTTACAAGCACTCAAAAGTGCACCCCAAGCACTTGCACCAGGCTTCATGCCAACAGGGACAGACTTAATCAGTTCCATTGCATCATCAAGTTTCCCAGCTCTAGCCAACAGATCAACCACGCACGAGTAGTGTTCTAACTTCAGTTCATCTCCATTCTTGCTAGCCAGCTCTTTGAAAACACAAAGCCCTTCCTCCACCAAACCTCCATGGCAGCATGCAGATAAAATCGAGAGAATTGTAACAGGATTTGGCGTCAAACCACGAGTTTCCATTTCGGAGAGTAAAGCCAAAGCTTCGCGGGGAAATCCATTCAGGCCGTATGCAGCAATTATCGCACTCCATGAGACGACGTTTTTTGTCGAGATCTGATTGAAGGCCTTTCTAGAAGCTTCTATAGCCCCGCATTTCGCATACATATGGAGTATTGCAGTACCAACAACAGCATCGCCCATCAGCCCCATCCGAATTGCAATGGCATGGGCGCACTTGGATCTTTTGATTTCGGCAGATAGCGAGCAGGCCTCGATGAGGTTTAAAATTGTTACGGGATTTGGATTCTGTTGCGAAAGCCGCATATCACAATAAAGAAGGATTGCTTCGTCAGGCAAGCCGCAGTTGGTTAAACCCGATATCATCGTACTCCACGTCACGATATCCGGTCTTTTGATTTGGCAGAATAGTCTCCAAGAAAGATTGATCTGCGTGCATTTGGCGTATGCGTCGATTAATGAATTCACGACCAAATCATTCGACTGGGAATATCCACGAATTACTCTACAGTGAATCGACTTGCACTGATGCAGTTTTCTCGAGACCTTGCAAGTTGCAAGTAGGTTCACTAAAGTGACCTCGTCAGCAGTAACTCCCGACTGACTCATTAAAGAAAACAATGCCAATGCTTCTGCATGCTTCCTGTTATGAACAAATCCAGATAGCAGAGAATTCCACGATACTCTGTTCTTGTAAGGAATTCCCCTGAATGCCATAACAGCAGAGTCAGTGTCCCCACACTTGCAATAGAGATCAACCAGACTGTTTGCCACAAACAAATCATAATCCAAACCTCTCACAACCGAAAATCCATGAATCAATTTTCCCACACGTATGTCACTTAGGGTAGCACAGCCCTTGAGTACACTAACCATGGTTTGTCCATCCACTTCAATCCCAACATCTGAGACCATCTGTTTAAAAGACAACTGAGCAGTAATAGCATCATCCCATTGGACATAACCACCAATCATCACACTCCACGAAATCGCATCTTTCTCGTAAATTTCATGAAAAAGGTTTTCTGCATAGTCCATCCTAAAGTCTGTGTACATGCCCAAGAGAGCATTTTGGACTGAAATTAAACTCAACAGCCCACTTTGAATCAAGTATGCATGAAACCTCTGGCCATCATGGAAAGCTCTAAGACGGTGATGTGCCTGAATTATGAGCACTAGAGTGGAGACATTTGGCTCAAATCCAAATACTCGTGCTTGTATGAACAAATTAAATCCTTCCTCAAACGCACCTTGATCAAGATGCCCGTGGAGAACTGTATTCCATGAAACGGAATCCTTTGTCTTCATGCAATTCAGAACACCCACTGCAGATCCCAATGCTCCAGATTTTGCATAAAAGTCTATCACTGAATTTCCCACAGAAGTAAATGATTCAAATCCCTGCTTAATCAAGGATGCATGGACAGATCTTCCCAGTCCAAATGACAGAGCTGAACAAGCCTTCAGAATGTGAGAGAATATTGTATGATCCGTCGGTTGAACTTCCATATTTTTTATTTCATTGTAATGGGAGAGCACCTCTTTCCATCTGCCACTTGATGATAACATTTTTATTTCCTGGCATAAATTGGCACATGAAGGGGAGACTGGGAAACGCATACCATGAAATAGTTCAGTGTTTCTTTATTAGGTGAAAAAACAGAGAACCCTCTTAGACGCAAACTTCTGTTCTGTTCGGACACTTTGGCAGCCATGTAAGTTCAACACTTGTCATCTGCTTAAGTAGCTGTGCATGAGAATTTTATACGGTGAATGAAATCAACCAGTATCTAAGGGGAGAGTGTGTAGCCGTGGACCTTGATGCGGAAATGCAGATTAAATAGCAGTGCACAGTCTTAAATCTTAATCTAAGGTGGGAAGAAAACCAGCATTTACCATGCCTCATGGCAGTTTATCTTTGATTTTTCAGAAGTAAAAATATGAGCTTAAGATACATATATCTTTTCAGAAGTCTACAACAACAGAAGGATGACAAAGTTTGATTGATTTTCTTTTTGAGTTTCAATTTTGCTTCAGCAATTTATATTATCCCATTGGCTAGTATGAAGGAATCTCATCTAGTTCTTCTTTCTCTTTTCTTTTCTGATACTTACTTATCCTACAGTTTTTCAACATAAAAATCGTACACATGCTTGTGGATCACTTCTAGTTCTCTAAGAAATTGTAGGATTCATCTTTTCTTCTTTAACCTCGTTAATATGTATGTCGTCAAACTGACTTCGTACCCAGTTTTAAACATATACCACTAATTTAACGTTTTGTTGTTATGCAAACAACTTAATCCATTGAACAAGTGACTTAGTGATCCACCGAATTGTTTGATTAATGTCCAGTCCAGGTTCAAAAAATTGATCCCAAATTACATTTCTCTATAACCGAAATAAATTTGTTCCATTTCCATATGCTTATAATAAAAAAGAGAGCTGTCAGAAACACCTAATGTTTCCCCTTCATAACGCCCATACTTCAAACAGTTCAACTCATCATCTACCAATCAATTATAGAAGAAAGGGGAAAGGATATTTTCTGTTTGGATAAAGAAGATAGAAACAAAAACGAAAGGAAAATGTGCGCAACTTTGAAGTAACACAGCATCAGTAGCTTCTGTTCCTCAAATTTGAGAGTCGGGAAATATATTCAAACACATGGTGGGCAAAAAAGAGACACTATGCACGTAAAATTTGGCAATTGGTGACCAATAGCAAAAGGAATCACGCAATTGAACTGTGACTATAGAATAAGAACACAATCGCTTACTGGAAAATAGAATTGTCGAGTGATGAATTAGATAACCTTATGATCCTCTTAGGCCGTGCTACAGCTGAGAGCCATTGGGCATAGTCGAATTTCCAGCATCAGCAGCAGCAGCGCTTAAACGATGGGCACAGTCCCCCCAACATTTTTGGGCCTTGGGGTAAATATAAAAGAGAAATT